AGGAGAATGTCGATGGGAACCAAGACAAGGTACATGACCTGAGCAGTTGAGCAGGATGGGGGCATGATGGCAGTACCTGGTCTCCTGTGTTCCAGAAAGTTCCATCCTGACAGGCCACAGGTAGATGGTGGACAAGACAGTCAGAGAGGGTTGGGGTGCTGCAAAGTGTATCATTCTCCAGCAAGCAAAGGGCTCAAGACTCTAGAGACGGATGCCCTCCTTCCAAGGCTGTGTTGACTCAGCTCCTTCAAGATGGGATGTGGTGTAGAGGAAGTTGTATTAGAGGAAACGTCTCTGAGAGATTGCAAGGGAGTCGGGAGAAGCTGGGAAAACCACCAGATCACAAAGCAGAATTGGCGCCAAGTGAAGAAGAGAGGAAGGGTGCTAGGCTGGGGGAAAGAGCCAGCCAAAGTCACCATCAGAGCCCACCTCCCAGCACTGGGCCTGTCCCCATGTCCCTAAGAGGGTCACTGGCTGGAGCAGCCCTTGGTAGGCATGGCCTTGGCATGAATGCGAGGATGTGTTTCAGGATGCAGCAGCTGGGACCCTCAGTCACTCTGCACCCTTCAGAGATGAGGAGATCCTTCCCCATGGCCATACCAAGACACAGTAACACACGAATGTCAAAGGCAACACTACTCAAATTATGTTCTGCAGAGCCCTTGGCCCATAAATAACTGAGAATAAAAAAGGGGGTTCCATGATCAAACAGCTTTGGGAAACACTGCAGACTGTTGGGGCCAATTCCACGTTAAAACCCGTTAAACCCCTAGGGCCCGCCTGGGCCTACTTAGCTATAGTGACTCCATGCCTAGGTAGCCATTTTGTTGTTTAATAAATGAGTCAGCAGTTACTGATACCAGTTCCAGGTAACCGTTGCTAAAACACTTACCTAAAACAAGGCCATTTTGTTGTTTAATAAACGCCTCAGCAGTTACTAGTATTGGTTCCGGGTAACCGTTACTAAAACACACAGGTAGGAGACATCCAATCAGCCAAAGCCACATACGTAGAGGTCTGCAGTTGTGCCTTATAAAGCTAGCCTGTAAGACCAAAGAGGGGTCGCTCTCTTTGGAGGCGGCTCTGGCCGGTCAGTCTGACTTCTAATGCTTGGCATAGAATAAAGCTTTACATAACTTTCACTTTGTCTCAGTCTTGTTCTTTTGATAACGGACCCAACACAGACCTTCCCTTCCTCATGGAAGATCACCGTGCTTATTAGCACATTAAGAGTTCTGAGAAGTCCTGTAGTAAAGACACTTACTTACAATTTTTTTAGTTTTGCTCTTTTTCAAACGTACTTGGGCAAAGTCTCCCCCCACCCAGATTTTCTCTTTTACACTTTTTTAGCACACTGTGTAATGAATAGAGCATGCGCCAAGAGAGGCTTTTTTAGATACAGGTAACAATTTTTCTTTCAGTAAGTACATAGAAAATCTGTGTTTCAGGGTTGATTATCAGTACGATCGCATTTTGAAAGGATCATTCCCCCTTTGCTGCCCTCCCAGGAAGGCCAGCTACTGGGATGACCAAGCACTGAGACCGAGGGTTAGTCATTAGGCAGTCGGTGGGAGAAAATGTGGGGGCAGGACAGACACCCTCAGAATGCTGAAAATTACAACACGTGGATACTTGCCCTTTTCATCTACCACTCAATGCCAAACAACTAATCTGACAGAAAGCAGGCATCGAAAAGCAGTTTTTGCACATTTTTCATTAAGAAGTGGTGCTATTTAAAAATTATAATAGCTGGGGCGCCTGGGTGGCTTAGTGGGTTAAAAATTATAATAGCTGTTCTTTGTGAATATCACTATTATAGATTATTTTTTCTGTACTTCCCAATTTTTCTGTAATGTAATATTTTCAAATAAAACTTAGATAGATAGATAGACAGATATATAATCTGAGAGCACTGATATTTGAAGAAGTCAGTTTAAAGGATAGATTAAATTATGATAATTCTAAAATTTTGAATACCCATTTTCTCAGTATCAAGTTAGATCCCTGAGAAATTCGCCATGTTAGCAATTCATCATCCAGGGATGCTGGCAGCCTTTCACTGAGCTAAGTTCAATCTTGGCTATCTGTCAACCTGCATCCAGTCGAGAGACAGAAATCACACCAGTAACGTGAACAAAGAGCATTCACTATGAAGAATTCCTAACTAGTAATAGGGGACTAGCTATAGGACCAGCAGACATAAGGAGCCGTCTCTAGGCTAAGACAGAACACCCAGACGCTTTGAACACACTTGGAAGGTGCCTTCCCTCCCAAGGCTGAGCCTCAGACCTTGTTGGAGACGGTGCGAGTACAACCTACTGGGCTGTGTGCTTTCCAAGCTCCCTGGTATAAGAACTTAGTAAAACAAGAAAAGAATGAGATCGTGAGCGTTAATTATCAGGCCTAATCCCGCGCTGACCCTACACACACCTGTCACCATGTTTTCTCAGACCATCTGACGCAAAATGTGAACCCCTGAACTATCCCGGCCCTTCCCACCCTCCTTCCTGCTTTGCTTTTCTCCACAGAACATCCCTCCTCCTACCCTGCAACTTATGAACTCTTTGCCTACATTGTTCACCCAGCCAGGCACCTGCCAGGCGCGCTGTAACAAAGGTGACTAGCTGACCCGATGAACTGAATGAAGGAATGATCTCCGAGTACAGGAGAATAAGAGCTATAGCTTCTTAGTTTCTTGGGCTGAAATTGGGGTTGAATTATAGTGGAAAAGAAGAACTCAGACCCTCGCAGGCAAGGTCTGTGAGCCACAAGCCGAAGTCACAGAATGCGGTGAGCTTTCACCAACAATGAAGATCCTATTATGGTTCCAGATAGCAGAACGGTAATAAAACATTCCTCTTGCCTCCACTTCGGGCCTCCGAGCCATTCCATCCTACCCATTTAGAAGTTTCTAGAATCCCAAGGCCGTGGGGAGTGAATACAGAGTATAGCGATTATAGGGAACAAAACTGTGTCATAAACATCCAACTTGCTACCAGGACACATCTTAACAGTTCGCATCACTCGAAGAAACGGTAGTTACGTGATGCAACAGAGGTGTTAGCCAACATCCCGATGGCAATCCTTTTGCAATAAAAATACAACAAATCAATACGCTGTAGACCTTAAACTTACACAATGGTATGTGTCAATTATCTCTCAACTTTTAAAAAAGTGGGGGGTGAAAGACCCCATGGCCTGAGGCTGGGTAAGCAGAAAGTTGGGGAATTGAGCCAAAATAACATAGTACTGAAAGCAAAAGCCATTGATATCGGGAAGTTAGGGGCGGTCCTGAATTTCCAGTGTTTTTCCTGGGGAACTTCAAATCTCACAGAATTCTGTGACATGCATGAGGTCCTGCCTGCTGCTGTTCTCCTCCATTTAACCATGCAGGCTGTGTGTGTATATCCACGGGGCTTTCCCTGATTCCGAGTTGACTTGACTGTCATCCTCTTGGCCAGCGTGGACCAGTGAGCAGGTGGCAATAAGGCATGAGCCTTACTGAGCTTCCATCACTTACTCAAGGTCCTGGGGAGGAGGGGGTGGGGCTGGTATGGCTCCGAACAGCCCAACCCAGGGAGGGAGAACCCCGGGTGGATGGTCTATGGGTCCCAGGGCTGTGCCGCCTCCAGTGGGCAGTGACCTCCCACTCACCTACAGAAGCCCGTGCGGGGGTCGGGGGTGGGGGCGCATGTCCTTGCTGGGAAGCGCGCACCGCCCAGGTTCCCACCAACGCCAATCCCGTGCGGAGGACAAACGTCATCTTTGAGTAAATTTAACACTCAACTGCATTTTCGTCTGGGCCCTTTTTATGTTTGTTTTTGCCTTTCTTTTAATAGTTTGCTTCTATTTCCATCCTCACGGGTCCATGCTCTGAGTTCAAAGCTACCTCAGACACGTCTCTGGCGTTCGTTAACAGGATGTCCTTGAACCAGGTCTGTGAGTGCTAAACCACTGTGCAGTGGGGTGGCCCCAAATTAGGTCAGTCACGGGTCCCAAGAGCGGATCTGGGAGAAGTTCATAGGGACTTCCCTGCTGTTTGGTGTTCCTCTTCTCCCTTCATCCTTCTTCCAAGCCACCCTCCCTGCCTGGTTCCTGCCCCCTGACCACCCCCTGCTTCTTCCCTCCACTCTGAAATCTGGACTCCTCCAGCTTCCTTTCTCTCCAACCTCAGACCTCCCCCTTCCCCCACCGCAGTCCTGGGCGGGGAGTTCTCCCCACCGGCTCTGTAGCCCAGACTTGACCCACCCCCCAACCTCCATGGAATTTTCTGGGATCTTCTGGGAGCAGGGGCAGCGCTTCACAGCTTGCTTAACTCCTGGCTTTCCTCACAACATTTTTGTTAAATCCCATAGCAGTCCCCCACTCACGGATCCCTAGCCTCTCTGCACCAGCTCTCTTCCCAAGTGACACCACTCTGTGGCTTCCTTTGTCCCCAGATCCTCTCTTGGGATGCCCCCCCTCCACCAAGGTCTCTCAACCATTCACTGTTGTTCTCCCCGAGCCTTCTAGATGCCCTACGGATGCACAGAGCGGGCTTCTGCCCTGGGGTCTGCACACAGAGCTCCCACAGGACACTTTACCCTCCACTGCTGGCTGTCACCCCCTCAGAAGTGTCCTGCTGTCACCCCACCTCGTATCACTGGGGAGCAGTGACAAGTCAGTTCCCTTATCTGGGACAGCCAGGAGGACGCCTGTCTAAAGGCCAGGGGGAAATCAAAGGCGGGGTCCAGGGGGAACCGGGAGGAGAAAACAACTTCCTGGTTTCTCTCAGAGGCTTGAGAAACACTGTAGGGGTCTGGAGAAGCTTTCAAGTTGTTTTCTTTGGGTTAGTCCCTGAAACCGTGACCAGTGACTTGTGGTGTAGAGCTCCCCAGGGCTTAAACAGTGGCTTCTCTTGCCCCCAAAGTCAGGACCGGGGCTGCTCAGAAGAAAGCCGGTCTCTCAGGGGCCCCAGGCCATTCCCACGGCAGCTCAGATGGTGGGTCGGGAGGCTGTGCCCTGCCCCCCTGGAACTCTGTCAAGGGGTAAGTCATCTCTGTATTTAACCAGTGACGTCTATGTTGATGCTGGGGATGGTTTCACTTTTGCAAACCTTTGTTTCTGTCCTTGGAGAGAAGAACTCGGCCAGCCTGTCACAGGAAGCTATCTGCCAGGGTGAACAGACCTTTTGAACACGTAGGAATTAGGACTGATATTTATTTCAAGACACTAAACGGCGCTGCTTGGCTCTCTTTGATGGTGCGTTTCCTTAAATATTATCTTCAGATAGGCAAACCGTATTTCCACCGGGAGAATTTAAGTTCTGTGAAGAGGTATAATGCTTACTTTAATTTCCCCGGTGGTATTAGCGCATGGTCCAGTACGTGACGGCTTAACAAAGAGGTATTTACAGCAGCCGCTCTCAGCAGGTGCGGATGCATCAGAGAAATGTTTATTTTCTGAGCTGTAGACCTACTCTAGGTAAAATGAACCACCAGCAAAGAGACAGGTGGCTTCACGGACACTAATTCCATTTTTATTTTCCCACTCCAGGACCACCCAGCTGTATGAAGGAAAATAATCTTGCCGGTCCGTGCGGGGCAGCCTGAAGATGGATAATTACACGTCAGCCCCCGACGATGACTATGACGTCCTCATCGAGGATGACGTGAATAGCGGCGAAGTAGAACAGTGCGTCCCCTACGACCCCAAGGTCCTGGCGGCCCGCGTGGTTCCGCAGCTCTCCACCGCCGTGTTCCTGGCAGGTCTCCTGGGCAGTGTCTGGGTCGTGCTTATCCTGGTGAAACATAAAGGACTCAAGCACAGGGAAAATATCTACCTCCTAAACTTGACCATTTCAAATTTGTGTTTCTTGCTGGCCCTGCCATTCTGGGCCTACACTGGGACACACGGGGGGGTTCTCGACAACCCCTTCTGTAGAATTCTAGTGGTACTGTACTCCATAGGCCTGTACAGTGAAGCGTTTTTCAACGTCCTCCTGACCGTGCAGAGGTACCTGGAGTTTTTCCCTGTGAGCTTGCCCTCCACCACCCGGACAGCACGCTGGGGCTTGGTCTCAAGTGTTCTGGCGTGGGTCCTAGCCGCTCTGGTCATTTTGCCCGAATCCGTGTTTTACAAAGCTCGGATGGAAAGCCAGACATCCAAGTGCTTCTTCGGACGACCTCACTTCCTGCCGGCAGAGGAGACATCCTGGAAGCGTTATCTGACCTTAAAGATGAACATTTTGGGACTTCTTTTTCCACTGTGCGTTTTTGTCTTTTGCTACGCGCGAGTGAGAAAAATACGAGGGTCTGGGGAGAGGAGGTCTGGACGTTCTAAGCTTGTTTTTGCCATAATGGCTCTTTTCCTTCTGATGTGGGGACCCTACAATATCGCCCTTTTCCTCTTCACTTTCAAAGACTCTTTCTCCCTGCATGACTGCAAGAGTGACTACAACCTGGACAGGAGCGTTCAGATCCTGAGAATTGTTGCGGCCACCCACTGCTGCGTCAACCCCCTCCTGCACACGTTCCTCGACCCCACATTCAGAAGACACCTCTGCCGCCCTTGCTCAGTGTGCAGTGGCTGTCCGCTTCAGTCCAGGGAGGAATCTACACGAGAGGCATCCAGAGAAGGACACGACCATTCCATTCCCCTCCAAGCTAGTGTAAACTAGCTTCTGTCTAAGGCAGCACAAATAAACATTGATTTTTGTAACATTGCCCTGTTTTGCGTTTTTTTTTTTAATGCATTTGTGTATAAAACAGGATACAGGAAGAAAAGCGGGGAGGTGAACCAGCATTTTCCAAGCACCGAATTTGTCTCAGGTGTTGTGGAAGGCTGTTTGCTAACCTGAGCCCCTTTGCACCTCAATACTTGACCATGGGTGTGGATGGAATGTGTCTCATTTCGCTAAGGAGGGAACTGAGGCATGGAAATTTGTCTAGGTTCATGCAGCTGGAAAGTGGCAGGGATGGGACACAAACGTGAGTGCCACTCACTCCAAAACCTAGGCTTTGTCCCAGCATGCCAAAATTCCAAAAATCAAGCAAGGAAACAGGAGAAATATATACGTACCCTTAAAACTAATCAGACCACATTCGAAATCAGAAGCAACCTATTCATATAGAAGTAATTATCTAGGCACATTTTCTTGCAGGTAGTTGAAAGAACTGGCTAGCTGGAAACTATGGATAAAGAGGTAGAAGGGACTTGCTCTGTGGAATTTGCTGTCTCCTTGGCTACTTGCTACATGAGTAATCTGGGTGAAAATAACTCCAGGTGAGAATATTCTAGGAATTGAGAAAACCTCATTCAGTACAATCTGAAGTGGAATCCGCTAAGATGTGTTGTAATGGATGGGGGTTAAAACATGTGTTGGGCAGGAAAATGGCTTCGTTGGACAAATTTACAAAATGTGGGAAAATGAGAAAATCAATGGTTATTCGTTGGTGGTACTCTGTAGAAAATACTGGAATTTACGATGTGCATTAAACTGGTTGTGCCTGGGTGTCTCAGTTAAGCATCTGCCTTCTGTTCAGGTCATGATCCCAGGGTCCTGGGATCGAGCCGGGCATCGGGCTCCCTGCTTGGCGGGAGGCCTGCTTCTCCCTCTCCCACTCCCCCTGCTTGTGTTCCCTCTCTCGCTATGTTTCTCTCTGTCAAATAAATAAATAAAATATTTTTTAAAAATAAAATAAATTAAATAGGCCCAATGCCCAGCGCAGAGCCAGATGTGGGGCCTGAATTCATAACCCCAAGATCAAGAGCAAGTGTCAGAGACTTAACTGACTGAGCCACCCAGGAGCCCTAGCAGGATAATACAATTTTTTGTAAGTTAAGTTGCAAAAATGCGATCTCTGTTCTCATGCAAACTTGTATCAAACATATTTCCTGGGGGTCCCTGGGGGGTCAGTCGGTTAGGCATCTGATTCTTGGTTTCAGCTCAGGTCCTGATCTCAGGGTCGTGAGATCAAGTCAGCTTGGGATTCCCTCTCCCCTCTCCCTCTGCCCCTCCTGCTCACGTTATCTCTCTCTCTCCCTCTCCCATTCTCTCTCTCTCTCCGCCCCCATAAATAAATAAATTTTTTTAAAAAATGTTTTCTGAACTTAGCCATGATTTTTAGACCTCTGTGCAAGGACAAAAGACATTTCCCTCTTTTAAAGTCAGTTTGGACAACTGGAGAGCTTTCGTTTTACCTCCAGTGGGGGGCGCTCTGCAATCCTCCATGCCAGGCTAGAAGGTAAACATCAAGTGGAGAATCTAGTAGAACTCTATAAACGTCTCCCAAGTGATAAATACGCACGAGTAGTGTCTTACACTTGCAGGTAGGTCTCAGTGTTTGACAGCACCTTTTGTGAACAAGACATTTTTGAAGACGAATGATGTAAAATTTCTCCACGGATCAGCTTTAAGGGACGAAATGTTGGAATCAACTTCAGTAATGGGAAATATCAGTTTTGAACCTCAATTAAACAGAAGTTACCCCCCTAACTTCCACTCTTCTCCTTAGTAGGCCTGTATCACACACAAGAAATTATACTCCAATTATGAGCTGGTACTGATACCGCCCATTCCAGCCTAACCCAGTGCTTCCACCTCGCCTTCTCCATTCCGTATTTCTGTCCTCTTTTCTTTCATGGTAACTCTAGGTCCCCAAAAGCATCCACGCATTTGCTCATTTCCTCAATCATACATGCACTCGACAGTGTCCTGTGTTGCTACACCCATATTGCTCAGAATCATGGGTAGACGGATATAAGGGTGATAGAGAGTGGTATGCAAACTAGTCCTAAAGATATGGCCTGGAGGAGAGGAGACGATGCTATCACGGGGCATGGGAGCACGACTGATGTTACGAGATTCAGCAGCGGTCTCCCTGGAGGGCATCTGTGCTCAGACATGAGTGATCCTCCCCTAAGAATCCGGCATCTGCTCGATCTTCTGTGTCTGTGGTGCCTGGGCGGCTATGCAGGTGGGGTCCTGCCTACGCACCCTAATGAGGGAGACATTGGACCTGAAATCCGGCCCATGTCGCTGAGCAGACCATGCTCCCAAGCAGGAACCTGTACACACCCTGGGAAAGAGGTACCTTCCCTGGCCTTCATACAGGCTGGCAGGGCTGTCCTCTGACTGCTCTCTGGCCAGGCACCATGAAATTCTGATGCATTTTCCTTGGGCCATTTCTCTGTCCCCTGTCCTGTGTGTGGGCATGGTCTGCGGCCAGGACAAACGGGGAAGGGGGTTTTCTCCATCTGGGACCAAGCTCGGGGGCAGAGAGAATTTGAGGAGCCAGGCAGAGACAGCTGCAAGCCAGAGCAGGGCTGGCGAGGTCTGGCCAGGGGGTGGAGAGCCCAGAGAAGCTACTCAGGGTGGAAACCATGCAGAATGCGAGGCTCCGGGCTTTCCCTTGAAGCCTGTGAGGAGTCAGGGGTCGGAGGAAGTGAAAGCGGGGACACAAAACCGAGGCCACCCTCTTTTCAGCGTGAAAAGAAAGTGGGGACCAAAGGTCACGTGGCAGCCCAGGGCTTGGGCTAGGTGGGATGCCCCCCGAGTGGGAGGAGAGAGGAGCATCCGGGAAGTTATGGAACTGAAATGTGCAGATTTCCCACTTCTGCGAGAATTCATGAGTGCAAAACTCGAAGACAGTTTACCGCGGGTGCAGTTTCGGGGTTTGTGTGTCCCTGAAGATCTGAGACGCACAGAAGGAGGGATGTTGCTCTTGGCTAAGACAAAGTGCACACGTTGGTTCCTTCTCATGACTGGAGGCTTTGACCGCCATCCCAGCCAAGCTGAAGCAAAGGAGCTGGTGGGCTGTTTCTTCTCTTCCTCCGTCTGTCCCTGCCTTACCCTGGATTCTCCACATCATCTTTCTGCAGTGACACCCTCCCTTAGGACTCAGCGTGCCATGGTACCCATCTCCTGCTCTGCAGAGGGCTCAGGGTCCCACTCCGAATTTCCACAGGTTCCTGGGGCCTCACCCTCTTCCGACCCCCTGTCACCCACATCCTTCTGCTCCCTCATTACTGGTCTCCACCACCTTTCATTCCAGAAGTTGCGATCCGCTCCCCACATGCTCTCCCCATGGGCAGACCCTGTCCTGATGGGGGATGGCCAAGATGGGTCCAGTCGTTGATAGGTATTAGGTGTCCGGGATAAAGTATCTGGCCAGCAGGGGCAGGAATTGTCTCCATGATGACATTTTCTTTTAGAATCTGAGAGGCTGAGTTCCTGGGGCCCATGTGTCCTCTCTGAGTGGATTTTCCACCATCTCCACATTTCCCTCACCTGCAGTCAATTCTAAGTTCCCTTATTCATCTAGGAGAGTGAGTCAACTTGATTGAGTTGGCTCCAAACTCTCACTCTCATGGTAGAGGGCTCACTTTTCTCAAACCCCATGGCCGCCTACGACCATTTCTTAACATACCCTCTGCTTCCATCCTAAAATTCAAACTCAACTTCACCCATTTATTTCATTCTGGCCCGGGGCACCTGGGCGGCTCAGTGGGTTAAAAGCCTCTGCCTTTGGCTCAGGTCATGATCCCAGGGTCCTGGGATTGAGCCCCGAATCGGGCTCTCTGCTCTGCAGGGAGCCTGCTTCCTCCTCTCTCTCCCTCTGCCTGCCTCTCTGCCTACTTGTGACCTTTCTCTGTCAAATAAATAAATAAAATCTTAAAAAAAGAAAAAGAATATTTCATTCTGGTTCAAACACTAGAAATGACCTGCTTCAGGCCACAGTGTTCACAACCCAGTGGGACTGTCACTTTGGTTGGAAGAAGCAGGTGGCTTCTCACACCCACGACCACAGCAGAATGGTGATTTGCTCACCTTCTCTACATTTCGTGACTGTGAACCTGATATACAGATGTTCCTGTGTGTTCTGATGACAGCACTAAGTCTCAGAAAAGAGATGGACCAGAGCCTTAGGGTTGAAATAAATGAAGGTACAGCCTCAGGCACAGAAGTGAAATAGAGTCCTATGGCCAAGATGTTCCCTGCTCCTTCCCACCGGACATCATATACCACCTCCTCAACGTCGCGGCCACCCGACTGATTTAGGGCAATGAAGTGATGGGAATGACCATGCTGTCGATCTACAGAAGCTCTAAAAATTACGGTGAGGCGCCCCTCCCCATCTCTCTTTCAGCCCGGGTCTCAGAACAAAGACATGAGCAAAAGGGTCACTGGCGGAAAGACACAGGTGTGAGGCAGGAACAAGAGATTGCTGTGTAAGCTACTAGGATTTTGATAGAACTTAGCATGAGCTGACGGCCAGAAAGGGTTTTTCACTGGCGGGGCTTTAATTTCTCCTTTGTATTTTATTTATACGAGAAGGTTCATACTGTCCAAATGTTATGCTTTGCGGGGCTAGTATTGTAATGAACATGACAACAGCATCAAATGTTGCTCCCTGAAAAACGTTCTCAAGTTAGTGAGGAGGGACGGCGTATCTGGGCCATAATTCACATTAGCAAAAAGTGAGTTTCCATCCGAAGCCTAGGGGACCCTAACACATGTCCTTTCCTGGCAGATTTCAGAGACGGTGTAGGTTGCAGCAAAGCTACCTACCCATTGGTGGTGGTCAATGCTGGCCACCCTTGTCTGGCGGCTGCTTTGTCTTCACCCGGTTGGCATGCGTTTGCCTGTTGGGTCCAGTGAGCCAATGGAAAAACTGAAAGCCAGAGAATGTTCCCTTTCTGA